ACTACGTTATATAGGAATAAGGGATGATTTATGAAATACCTGTACTGTAATTATAGTTAACGATGACACATTCACAAATTGAGTTTGTAGTAATGGAACATGAACATGAGTAGAGCAGCTGATGATATACTGAACGTGTGTGCAGCGAGCCGGTTAGAGCGCGAAACGTAAGTTTATTTAATAACAAATAAATCGCAATGGATTATGTATAGTACGTGGATTATGGTTTCTGCGCTGATGACAATTAATTTATTTTCTTTATATCTTCAAGACTTAAAATCCTCGTATGCACATCACTGCCTGTTACTGTATTTGGATGCTTAGTTGCAAAACTGCAAAATTGTAAACTTTTCAGATCATGATTGTTTTAACTGACTGAAGTTACGATTACTGACTTTATATATTTGAATGTGTATTTTTATCCCGGCCTGGGACGATAGACTTGATATCATTACGTCATCGCGAATGACGTCATTATGTTAGGGCATAAAAGAACCGATAAACCGGTTTTTAACCGTTTCATTGAAACGAACTGTCCGAAAGAACCGGTTCGCGGAAAAGACCTGGACTTCCCATCACTAGTGTATGCTTCTGTGTCAGTGGCTTGCTTTGATACCTGCGAATTCACACAACTTGCTCTCAAGGGGAGTTGAATGTGCTCATTGCGCTTATTTCTTTTTGGATAAGGAAGGATAGAGTGCGTTTGACTCACAAGGAAGTGGCATGTGCTCATTTTGATGTATTTGCAGGACTACTGAGAGAGAATTAGAAGCTTGATTCTTCTTTGCTTTGCCTTTTACCCAAGATTGTAGACAGCGTTTGCATGAATGCATTGCCCCTTAAGGGAGTTGAACAGGCTCATAGTGAAGCATTTGCGGATTCTGTTCTTGCCTGATTCTCGAGCATTTGAACAGAGCGCGTTTTGCTCTAAGGGGAGCTGCATGCTTGCTGCGTGATGTGGTCGCCGTGAGAATTGAGTGCCTGCCGCCCATCGTTAAAGTCCCACTGTTGCCAAGGCAGAAAGACAGACTGATCACGGGGATTGTAGGTGGAGCATGGAATTTTCCCTTTCAGGAACTTTTTGCTGTTTCTAATTCACAAGAATAAGAAACTGTGTAATGTGAGATATCTAATCACACATTCATAATATGTCCTCCTCTGATGTCTACATTATAGTTGAAGTGTACATAGGCCTTCTCTTAAAAAAGGGAGGAGGCCTCCGCTCTCCAGAAATGCTCAGGCAGTGGTGCCGAGATGTTAGACTCCTTGGCTAGCTGCCTCTAGAAATAGAGTTGGTAAGCCTCTGTTGAGGCCTCCTACGGTACTTACCATAAAAAGTAACTAAGTAACACAATTAGTTACTTATTTATGAAGTAATGTAATATCGTATTACTTTTAAAATGAACTTCGTCCAACATTGCTCATAATTCATTACAAAAATAATGAACAAATTCCATGGATAATGCAGTTTATATTGATTGATAGAGTGGTTGCTAAGGGTGTTGCGCAGTGATACACAGAATCGTTGGGTGAAATGGTCATAGCCGTACTTATTATGAATAAAACACAGCTGTTGATCAATCAGAATCAAGGACTGGAACTAACTGTTTTATAAACAATATTTTCACATAAATTCACATATGACTGGGTTGTATTTACTGCCACGGACTTGCATCTATGGTATACATGGCAGAAATAGGCATTTTGGTTGGCAACCTACTTTACTTAGAGTTTTGTAATCTGTAAATTGAGAGAAGCAACAGCATGCATTTATCTGTTCTAGGCACTTCAAAAAAAGTGATGGAGTACAACCTGCCCAGGGAGTGCATCCAAAACTACTTCCCCTCCAGAAAGTGCTTCACTTTCCCGTTTCCAACTGCCCCAGAGAATGTGTCACGTCTTGAAAAGTTGGATTCTGCTGACATTTCCTCTGACTTCCTGGAGGTCACAGAAAATTTCTGCAAGTATGCCTTTGAGAAGAGTGAAGTGAAAAAGCTGAAAGATGGAATCATAGTATCTGGCAGAGGTGATTCAAAAGAAAATTGAAAGAGTTTGCATACACTTATAGATTGTTCAATACCCTTTCCTTAACATTGTGTTTAACTTCTTTACTTCTCTGCAGTTCTGGGTCATCTGGCAAAAAATTATGTGGACACCATCTCCAGTGGAGTTGTGCCATGTCTGGAGAACGCTGTGATCGCCATGGCAAAGATTGAAAATGAGGCTGCAGTGAAGGACGGGCTTGAAATTTACCAGAGTGGAATGGAGAAGCTGAAGGACACCTTCCCGCTAGAACTGAAGAATGTGTCCTCAGAACACCAACATCTCAGCAGCACAGCGACACAAACCTTCATGAAGCGTTCATTCAGGGACAATGATGGGGGATACCTGAAAACTCTAGAGGTAAGCAGGAACTCTTCACATATTTCCAGTTTCAGTTCTTTTAGGTTGATGCTGTGAACTGTTGACACTAGGCAACCAGGTGAAAAATAAAACATCTCTTCTGGCCCTTTGTTGGTTCTGAATACATCTGAATACCTGCAAACCTAATAATCATTATGAATATTTTAATGCTCTCTTCTGCCATGTCATCAACTGCCACCAAAGGCCACCTCAATTTGAAGGACCTTTGGAAGCCAGCCTTAATTTTGTGGACTTCATTCATCTTATTATTTAGGATGCATCAAGTGTATTCTTTGCATCCTCCAGTCACCCACAATCCTTTGCACACATTCCAATTCATGAAGAAACAGATGAAAAATTAGTTGGCACTGAGCACCCTCAGGTCAATTATGAACTGCCAGCTCATTTGCAGAATCAAATCACTGAGGGTGCTTTTCAAATTAGTGAGGCAGCTCAGATTGGCATCTTTACACAAGACTTATCCCTCTGGGGTCTGAGGGTGCTTTTGGGTCCAGGAGAAGTTTTGACATGTCCTGACATTTTTGCTTTTTTTTGAAGTTATAAACACATTAATGGCTAAAATCTGATTACACTATTCAGCACAAACTGTGCTACAAAAAGATGTATCATGTATGTAAGATTGTACTTTTGAGAAAACAATGTTTATGCATCGTTAGTAAAAAAAAAAAAAAAATTTATATTATAGAAAAATGTGACTGTGGGGTAGGTAAGAAAGAATGTGAGGAAATTAAGAAAATTTATTTTTGTTTGTAGTTTATTTACAACAGTGCAAAATATAATCCAAATATAAATAATAAAGGTCATAGGCACACTGATCTGTACATACAGACTTGAAAAGTCATGCACATTCTTTCATTCCTGGAAACATTTTATGTTAAACTGTAGACACAAATGAATCATACCTGCATTTCCAAAGTACTTGTTGCTTCTTGAACTGAAGAATTTCAATGATGAAATGATGCCAGATGGGCTGGTCTGAGTATTTCAGAAACTGCTGACGTGCTGGGATTTTCACACACATCCATCTCTAGGGTTTACAGAGAATGGTCCAAAAGAAAGATAATATCCAGTGAGTGGCAGTTCTGTGGGCAAAAATGCCTTATTGATGCCAGAGGTCAGAGGAGAATGGCCAGATTGGTTGAGCTGATAGAAGGACAACAGCAACTCAAATAGCCACTCGTTGCAACCAAATTATGCAGAAGAGCATCTCTGAATATGTCAAACCTTGAAGCAGATGGGCTACAGCAGCAGAAGACCGGGTGCCACTTCAGTCAGCTAAGAACAGAAGACTGAGGCTTGTGGCCATTAGACTCGGACCCCTTCCATTAGACTGCCCTTCCTTCACGATACCCCCGCACAACAAGGACACAAGATCCCCCGTTTATTTTTGGACGCTCCTTCCCCTTGGACACTTTATTTACCCATTTTTATGTTTTATATTTGTTAAATAAAAGCCTCTTCATGTCCTGAGGCCACACCCACTGTGTCTGTCGTTTGCTCCTCCCACCACAGTTGGAATTGGAGATTCGCATCATGGATGTACAGCCAACAAATCTGCAGCAACTGCATGATGCTATCATGTCAGCACTGACAAGAATCTCTGAGAAATGTCTCCAGCACCTAGTTGAATCAATGTTGTGAAAAATTAAGGCTGTTCTGAAGACAAAAGGGGGTCCAACCTGGTACCTAGCAAGGTTTACCTGATAAAATGTCAAGTGAGTGTATGTGGCCATATTTAAATTGTGAACTGACTATACTGCTCTAGTGTTAAAATTCCCATTATAATGAAAAGAGCTGACCATACTGCATAATGAATCTCTTATTATATTGTGTTTGCACTTTGTTGGTTATTTTGAGAGGATTCGCAAGAGTGCAAGAATCAGCGTTGGATTGACCGGATTCTGACTAAATAAAATACCTCTGATTGGCCATTGTGATTTACGTGCTTATCAGCTACAATGCTCAACACTTCAAAAAACATGTTGTAAATAGAAAGCTTTGGTACTCTTTTGATTAGTATCTTCTAGCACCTCTGAAGAACTGGGCCAACTGAACTGTTGGACAATAAAATAAGTTTGGGGGGACCACAGACAGTTGTCATACAATTCTCATTCACTGTATTGCATTAACAGAAGTCAGTTAATAAAAAAATAATACAAATATTATTTCATGACAGTGGGGGTGGAAACCTTTACTATGTAGCCATGCAGACTTACTATTCATTAAATGTAATGCTGTGTGGGACAGAAGTGCTGGTCTAGGAAAGACAGCCTCACTGGGATGCAGCCTTCTTTAAGAAGCACCCGTAGATGATATGTCCTCTGATGCATTATAAAACTGAGAACTGCTACTTACATGCTACATGTTATGTTTTTAGGAAAAAATTAATAAACTCTTTGATGAATATTTGCGTCAAAACGAGGAGGCTTCAAAGAGACAATGTGAGGATCTCCTGTCAGTCCTCTCTGGACCAATGACAGAAAAACTCAAGCAGGGCTTTTATGCCAAACCTGGTGGCTATGATCTCTTCTGTAAGGATCTGGAGGACATTGTGAAGAATTACAACAGTCAGGCTAATAAAGAAGTCAAGGTCTTGCCTATTTTACTCAACATTATAGTAATATGATCACTTTCATCATCATAGTCATAACTGTCCATTTTTCTCTATGTGTGTTTATATCAATAGGCTGAAGAGGTCCTAGAGGAGTTTCTGAAGCAGAAATCTGTGGATTCTAAAGCCATTCTGCATGCAGACAAAAAACTGACTGAGAAGGAAAAAAAGATTAAGGGTGAGATTGTTAAACCTTCAAATCCTAATTTCCCTGTTTCAAAAAGTGCTCAAATGTTTAGCTACTTGTTGTGAAAGTACTGCTGGACACACCAGATCTCAATCCAATAGAGCACCTTTGGGATGTGGTGGAACGGGAGATTCGCATCATGGATGTACAGCCAACAAATCTGCAGCAACTGCATGATGCTATCATGTCAGCACTGACAAGAATCTCTGAGAAATGTCTCCAGCACCTAGTTGAATCAATGTTGTGAAAAATTAAGGCTGTTCTGAAGACAAAAGGGGGTCCAACCTGGTACCTAGCAAGGTTTACCTGATAAAATGTCAAGTGAGTGTATGTGGCCATATTTAAATTGTGAACTGACTATACTGCTCTAGTGTTAAAATTCCCATTATAATGAAAAGAGCTGACCATACTGCATAATGAATCTCTTATTATATTGTGTTTGCACTTTGTTGGTTATTTTGAGAGGATTCGCAAGAGTGCAAGAATCAGCGTTGGATTGACCGGATTCTGACTAAATAAAATACCTCTGATTGGCCATTGTGATTTACGTGCTTATCAGCTACAATGCTCAACACTTCAAAAAACATGTTGTAAATAGAAAGCTTTGGTACTCTTTTGATTAGTATCTTCTAGCACCTCTGAAGAACTGGGCCAACTGAACTGTTGGACAATAAAATAAGTTTGGGGGGACCACAGACAGTTGTCATACAATTCTCATTCACTGTATTGCATTAACAGAAGTCAGTTAATAAAAAAATAATACAAATATTATTTCATGACAGTGGGGGTGGAAACCTTTACTATGTAGCCATGCAGACTTACTATTCATTAAATGTAATGCTGTGTGGGACAGAAGTGCTGGTCTAGGAAAGACAGCCTCACTGGGATGCAGCCTTCTTTAAGAAGCACCCGTAGATGATATGTCCTCTGATGCATTATAAAACTGAGAACTGCTACTTACATGCTACATGTTATGTTTTTAGGAAAAAATTAATAAACTCTTTGATGAATATTTGCGTCAAAACGAGGAGGCTTCAAAGAGACAATGTGAGGATCTCCTGTCAGTCCTCTCTGGACCAATGACAGAAAAACTCAAGCAGGGCTTTTATGCCAAACCTGGTGGCTATGATCTCTTCTGTAAGGATCTGGAGGACATTGTGAAGAATTACAACAGTCAGGCTAATAAAGAAGTCAAGGTCTTGCCTATTTTACTCAACATTATAGTAATATGATCACTTTCATCATCATAGTCATAACTGTCCATTTTTCTCTATGTGTGTTTATATCAATAGGCTGAAGAGGTCCTAGAGGAGTTTCTGAAGCAGAAATCTGTGGATTCTAAAGCCATTCTGCATGCAGACAAAAAACTGACTGAGAAGGAAAAAAAGATTAAGGGTGAGATTGTTAAACCTTCAAATCCTAATTTCCCTGTTTCAAAAAGTGCTCAAATGTTTAGCTACTTGTTGTGAAAGTACTGCTGGACAATGAAGAACTCTGAGACATGAGCAAGATGATGTAACAGCCAAATTAATTTAACACCAGCTACAAGTAGCATCAAATGCTACAAGCTGTTTCAAAGGTAGAAGATTTACACCTGGCAATAATAATTGCAATATAGGGTGGCTATTTATGCCAGTGTCATCACTAATCAAGGTCAATGTGATCAAGATCAACACTTTCACCTCTTCGGGCTTTATTTGTATGGTTCTAAATCAGTTCTTAGTTGTAAGGATGGAACTACAAGTAGTTGATTAAAATAAATTCTTTAAGTGAAATATCCAAGTTGAAAACAGAAGGAAGTGTCCATCTTAAAGTGTGCATTAGTATGTTTAAAGCCATTCACAGTAGTTTTTTCTTTATAGGACAATCATATTTAGCAGATATTACCTTGATAAAATAGATCCTTAGTCTCATTGTTTGAGTCTCTTCTCCATCTCATTTTTTTTCTTTCCTTCTCTTTTTGCCAATGAAAAACCAGAGGAAACAGAGAAAGCAGTCCTCCTGGAGCAGGAAATCAAAGTTAAAGAAGAGAAGCAGCGACAGCTAGAAGAGAAGATGGAAGCAGAGAGAAAGAGTAATGAAGAGAGGATGAGGCAGATGAAGGAGAAGATGGATGAGGAGATAAAACTTCAGAGAGAGGAGGCTGAGCGTGCCATGGACAGTAAACTGAGGGAGCAGGCTGCTCTGTTGGAGAAGGGATTTAAGGAGAAGGCAGACAGGATGAAAGAGGAGATGGAGGAGTTTAAGAGGCAGAATGCTGAAGCTGAGAGTAATAGAGCTAGAGAGTTTGCAGAGATGTTAGAGAATTCCAACAGGAGACACGAGGAATCAATGGCTGTGATGATGCAGCAACACAGAGAACAGATGGAGGCCATAGAGCAGACGAATTGTCGCTCTTCAGACGGATGTTGCGTCTTGTGAAATGTATCAATTCTGTGATCTCCAAACTCAGGCATTTAATTGCACAATGCAATTTCAATATACAGTCATGTGAAAAAGAAAGGACACCCTATTGAATTACATGGTTTTTCATATTAGGACATAATAAAAAATCACCTGGTCCTTGGCAGGTCTCAAAATTTGGAAAATAAAACCTCAGATGAACAACAACACATGACATATCACACCCTGTCATTATTTATTTAACAAAAATAAAGCCATTATGGAAATGCCATGTGTGACAAATTAAGGACACCCTATGATTAAATTGCTTGTAGATCCACTTTTAGTAGCAATAACTTGAAGTAATCATTTTCTGTATGACTTTTATTGCAACAGATTGATTATTTTCTGTTTCAGCTGTTCTGTTGTAGATTTGCTGGTGTGCTCGGGATCATTGTCCTGTTGCATAACCCAATTTTGGCCAAGCATTAGTTGTCAGGCGGGTGGCCTCACATTTGACTCTAGAATACTTTGGTATAAAGTGGATTCCATGGTCAACTCAATGACTGTGAGGTGCCCAGGTCCTGTGGGTACAAAACAAGCCCAAAACCATCACCCTTCCATCAGCATTCTTGACTTTTGGTATGAGGTGTTTGTGCTGATATGCTCTTTAAGTTTTCACCAAACGTGGCACTGTGCATTATGGCCAAACAACTCCACTTTGGTCTCGTCTGTTCAAAGGACATTGTTCTAGAAGACTTATGGTTTGTTCAGATGCAACTTTGCAAACCTAAACTATCCTGCCATAGTTCTTTTTTAGAGAGAAGAGGCTTTCTTCTGGCAACCCTTCCAAACATGCCATACTTGTCCTGTCTTTTTCTTATTGTAATTTCACAAACTTAATCATTTAACATGTTAACTGAGGCCTGTAGAGTCTGAGGTGTAGTTCTTGGGTTTTTTGCAATTTCTCAGAGTATTGTACGGTCTGACCAATGGGTGAATTTCCTGGGACATCCACTCCTGGGAAGATCGGTGTCTGTCTTGAATGTCTTCCACTTGTGAATAATCTTCCTCACTGTGGAATGATGGACTTCAAATTGTTTGGAAATGGCTGTATTACTCTTCCCAGATTGATGGCAGCAACAATTGCTTCTCTAGGATCATTGCTGATGTCTTTCCTCTTTGGCATTGTGTTAACACACACCTGAAGGCTCCAGACCAGCAAACTGCCAAAACTTCTGCTTTAAATTTTCAATATGGTGTCCTTTCTTTTTCACATGACTGTATATAGACGCATACTTTTACAATAAAGCAGTACAATTGATCTTTTTCTATCTCCACACCGAACAGTGATTCCTTGATTTTGGATATGATGGAATAGGAAATTTAATTTTCACTTCACAAGCATGTTTTGTGTCTCCAGTATAAATGGCCTATGATATATCATAATGAAATGTTTATTTGACATTACAAATTAATTATAAACTGTCACAATTAAGGTTAACTACTAATAATTTTTCCTGACACTGCACAACATATTTGAAAAAACACAATATCTCTGTGTGTGTGTGTGAGGTTAAGAAAGTGAGTGCTGTCATTATTTAGACAAGTAACTGAGACAAATGATGAGCTAATTGGTCATTTGTGTACACATTTGTCAAGTTTCTCTGTAGTGAAATTATGCCAGCTGTATGTTCCACTAACCAATACAATAAAAATAAAGAAAGGAGATTTTCACATTATGTAATGTAAGGTTTGTAAGTACCACCACGCACTGGCTCAAAAATGAAATCCAATGTTGTGGGAAGGTATTGTAGCGTGGAGAGGCATAACAGCGGGGTTGGATCCAAATGCAAGCTTTAATCCAAAGAGTGGTCAGAACAGGCAGGGTCAAAACACCAGTAAACAGTAGCACACAAGGTAATCCAAAAGGGAAATCCAAAAACAGGCAAAGGTCAGGGCAGGCAGCAAACGATCAAAAACAGAAACAATCCAAGGTCAAAAACACTAGGTACGGCAAGGCAAGCCAAGGACAAAAACACGGAAGACACAGAGATGTAACAGGCTAACCAATAATCAGCCATGTATGTGTGGATGAGTGCAACCTTTATAGCAGGGCTGGGCAACTTTGGTCCTGGAGGGCCACTGTCCTGCAGAGTTTAGCTCCAACCCTAATCAAACAGGACCGAAGTTGCCCAGCCCTGCTTTATAGTGTGACTGATGGGAAACAGGTGTGAGTGTGTGATTGGTTCCTAGGTGAGGGATCATGGGAAATGGAGTCCAGAGAAAACAAAGAAGTATTCTGCTGTAGGTCTTTTACTTGTGCTCAAGTAGAAGTCACTTAATTTATTCAAATTTAGTTTCAATTTGAAATCAATTTCAATTAGACGTGCAGAAACACAACAACTGACTTACAGCAACACATCCTTAGATTAAATCAAATGCAAATAAAATAGCTTGGGCTGTCAATGCAGTCATGGTCAGAATTATCGGAATACAGAATTATTATTATATTTATATGATTAAAAAAATCCACAAAACCCTAACCTTTCACTGAAGTAAATTTGTTGATTTTGATGTTTGTTTTGTTTGTTTTCACTGTCCTGATGGAAGATCCAGACAAGGCCCATTATAAGATTACTAGCAGAGGCAGTCATGTTTTTATTTATTTATTTTTTTAATTTGTTGATATTTCATTTCAAAAATGAAAAAAACAAACAAAAACAAATTCACAGTGTATAGTATGTGTAGAGTGCAACAGCAAAGAGCTTGTTTACATTTTGGACAAGTCAAGTTGTGATAGCGAATAGGACCACATGGAGATACCAAAAAAAAGGAGAAAATGGCAGCCTGAGTGGCTTCAACATGCTGTCTGTCAGAAAAGATAATAAAGCTAATATATAATACATGTGAATATAAATTTGTTCTTCACTCACTGAAATTGATAGGTGATTTTTGCCAACTAACTTAAATATTGGTTTGGAAAAAAAACTTTAATGGGCATAGAACCAAGCAGAAACAATTAGAAAAAACAGAAGAAAAAAGATAATTAAAGGAAAACAGAAAACACAAAGATAAAAAAGAAAGGAGGAAAAAAAGTTACCTTTGGTATGATCTTACACTACTCACTCTCAGTGGCTGGGTAAAATGAAAGACCTGAGGGGAGCTGGGCAGAGATTGCAAAGCTACATTGTTGGGTTGCTACTAGGTTTAAGGATGGTTTTCCTTCTGAGACAGAACATGAAATTAAACACCCTGCAATAAAACAAAGCTCACTGATCTGGAGAGAAGATCTCAAAGAAAGAGCATAGGACACCGCCTTGCCCAAACTTATTTCCTAGCTTATCTATGATTCCCTCTTCTACTCCCTCTCCTTTCCTTGTGACTCAAGTCAATGTAAGTTCACTAAGAATGTCTATGTAACACATATGATGCATCATGTGAATCTGTTGTTTTTGGTAAAATGGTCTCAATTTCACAGCAGTCACTCATATTTTGAGAAAGACTGAAAACTGAAAATAATTCTGTTCTGCTGTTCAGGGGGTGTGCCTCTCACAAGGTCTCTGGTGAGAATGTTTTCCTATCTCTGGCCAGGCGTGACCCTTGGGTCACAGGATCCTGACCAATCAAAAGGTCTTCTGTGTTTACCACTTCGAGTTGATGATTTATTTATTGTGGTCTGGATATGTAAGGGAAAGTGGCAAAACAGTCATTGGGATTCTGTAACCAGACAAACCGCTGCACAGTCTGTGAGAGCTCTGCATAGTTGTGCAAACCTGCATAATCGTGTGGTTTTGAAGGTCAGCTGGTCATCAAAGAACACCCCAAGATTCCTAACTGAACTTGATGGGATAACACCTTGATGATCCTAGCTGGATGGGGAAATTGTGCTGTAAAGTTGTAGTGGAAGGAAAGATGAGAAGCTGTCTTTACCCTTAATTTTTGTAAAGGTGACATATTTAGTTGACATGCATAAGTACATGTAGACTTAACAAGGACACTGTAAAATATGTATTTTTTTTTAGTTGGAAGTAGATGCCATCTTAAGGATTTTAAGGTAACAATGTAATTTTGTGGAAAAACAAATTATTCAAAGCTCTGGTTTTATATAAAATCTGGAAGGAGTCTTTAATACACATATTTTAGGAGTTGTAATTCTGTATGAGTAAGTCTAAGTATATATATGTATATATATGTGTGTGTGGATATATTCATGTCCGCTGATGTAGCAGAAGTCAAGTTGTGATAGCGAATAGGACCACATGGAGATACCAAAAAAAAAGGAGAAAATGGCAGCCTGAGCGGCTTCAACATGCTGTCTGTCAGAAAAGATAATATTGTTAATATATAATACATGTGAAAAAAACACAGTACCGGCTAAGTGTTTCAATTCGTGTCGGCGTGATTGTGGCCCAATGCCGGCAGTTTTGGCAGCCGGACTCGGGCCAGTGTATTTGGGCCAATTCTGGGGCGTCATTCATCCCATGTCCATGCCGACTCTGGCAACCGCAGCCGGGCCGTGTTATTTCATCCGGCCTGCCGGATCTGGGCCATTATCGGGCCAAACCGTTTTGGCTACCTGGGGTTCCTGCAGGATTTTTAAGCTCAAATTTAAGACATGCACAAATAAAATGAATACCATGTGCAAGGTAGGGCAATGCTTATAGTAACATATTAAACTGTAAAATGACTGTAAAAAGCATGATTTACAGTTCAGATACAAGTTTTCACAAAAACAAAAAGTTTTATAAAATGATACACTTCACATTTCAGCCTTTAAACCATTTTTTATAAAAGTCTAACGTATTAATTATTATAGTAATTTAAACAATGATTATCAATAAATTATTATATGAATTAAATAACATATAAAAATCTAAGCAGTAAAATGTATTTATAATGCATTATCTTCTTATCGATCCACCAGTTCACAATTACAGCTTTGTGTGTTTGCAGGGTAAAAACATGGGTCGATTTTCACATTGGTCTGAACAATCGTATTGTAGGCTGCAGTTTCAGGACCGCAGTTCTACTAGGACCCTAATTTTTTTTTTTTTTTTGTGATAGCGCCATCTAGCCAATTCTATTGCAACAGAGGAGACCTGATTCAAACATCAAACAAACATATGCAATGACTAGATCCATGGAAACTATTAATTTTTTATGTTTCCATCTTATTTTTAATGTAAGAGCTGGCATGAACTTGAGTGTGTGAGGCGATGCCAGCA